TAACCAAAATAGCTGACTCGATACAAGAGCTCTATGTATATTAGGCCTAAGATTACTCTGGTTGTGATCCTGGAATGCTCATACAGGTGTATGGGTCCACACTTAGTGAATTCTGTTGCAGGATTGGGACCTTAGGCTGGAGGTAGGGAAGCTATCTGCATATTTGCCTATAATTTGCAGTATTGTTGTAGCCATGTTGGTCCCAGGATATTAGAGAGACAATGTGGGTGAGGTCATATCTTTTATTGGACCAAGCTATCAAGCTCCAGAGAACTCTTCTTTATTTTGCCTATAAAGCAATTAGTACAATTTGAGCACCACATTAACAATGAACACGATGACAGGAAATCAGTCAGGCGGCAGCAGTTTCCACCCAAGCACCAGCTTCATTATTTGTCATGCAAAGCTCTCTTAGATAATAAAGACAGGAGTCCCACTTGGTAAATCCTTTGTTCTTATTTTTCTGCTTAACCACCAAAACAATTCAGCCCTGCTGGGTCAGGATGAAACACTAACAGTTTCCTCTTGTCTTGAGACATCATTTACTAGTAATTTCTGCCAATCATTCTGAAGAGACTTTCACTAGTTACTTTAGCCCTACATCTCTCAGTGGATGTCTATTGTACTGGGCTTTCACACCAACATTAAACGTCACCCAAATAACCACAGAGCCTCCTAACATATTTCACAAAGTAACAGGATGCTCACCCCTTCCTAAATGCCTGCAAGTCAGAGCCTGTGCCAGCATCATCTGTCCACATCGCAGCATGCATCCCCAGCCAGTATCGGATGAAGGGCCCGTGCCTCCTATTAACAAGAATTATTACAATTAATATGGGTTCTTGACTGAAATTAGCACCACAAAAATCAAATTGTTGAAATCTAGGTGGTCAAGAAAAGTTCAGCTTTTTAACAAGTGTCCGGTGGATGAAGAGAAACTGAGACAGAAAGATTTTTATCACCAGTCTGGCTTCTAGATAAGTGTTCAGGATCTGCCAAGCAGATCTGTGTGGAAACCAGAACTGACACAGCTCAATAGATTTAGAATTCTTTGTTGATGCAAGACAAAAGGCAAAGAAGCAACCATGTAAAGGTGTTTACCAAACTGTGCCAAATTCAAGGATAAAATGGACAAGCCTATATGCAGGACTCTGTACACTGTGCTAAGCCAAACCTAAACTCTGCAGTGAGGTCCTATGAGCACTATGAAACCAAAACAACAGATGGAGGTGTAGGCAGTGGACCTAATGGAATTCAATATGGAAAGAGTAATGCAACCAGTACAGTAACCTCCATATTTTAATATTACATTATAATCTCCCCTCATTTTCAGTTTGCAATATACTAAAAGTATATATGTGTGCCTATATATTAGTAAATGCGCTGTACAAGCTTTGAGGGTTTGAAGCTGGATGTTTTAGCATTTGGGTAGGAAGCAAATACAGATTTTGGCATCTGGTGAAACACTGGACACAGTTTGGATCTGTAGAGCTATGAACCCTCGTTGGATGTAGTGAAATAATGAGAATCTATTAAGATTATTAGGAAAGGTCACACCTCTCCAAGCTATTGCTTCAAACTGGCTGCAGATTCAGGACGACAATATTTTCTATTTGTTTATGTTTTAAGGCTGTCTTCACAATCATGAAGGCTAGAAAGATAAATCAGTTTAAACTAAATGCTTAGATTCTTAAGCACAGTTCTGCATCAAGAAGTGGATTCTATGGTAAATTCCAAGAGTTTCCTTTATTTGTTTCTATTTAATTTAGTGCTTGAGAAAGATGCTGGAAATCTATCAACAGAACAGGCAGAGCATGGACAGTGACAATGAAAGCATCTTTGATGCTGTTCCATCAATCTGTCTCAACTGTGTAGTAGAAAGACTACCTCTAGTGGTGAATGGTACTTACTGTCTAGTAAGATTGCCAGTAATGTTGTCAATTATGCCAATTGTGATGGTTTTTGCAATCGTGGCCGAGACCATGAAATAAGTTTTGGGCCATCTACCCACCTGAGCTAGATTTAAATTGGCAACCTAAAGGTAAAGGCTCTATCCCATTACCAATCCCATAATTTATCCAGTCCAAATGTTTCTTTGGGTGATGATTTGGGAAATAAATTTAATTTAACCAGAAAGTTTAAATAGGGTTTTTTTTATTCCTTTAATGTGAAATCATTTTTAGTGTGTGAATAAACAGGTTAAACATATTTCTTGCACAACAGATCTACTGTGCATTCCCCATTAATTTGAGAAACATTCACAAGTTATTTCCACTGTTAGTATAAACACAAGGACCAAATTTTCTACTGGTGTAAGTGAGCACAACTTTCAGTACTAGGGAATGTGGCCCACTATTTCCTTTTTGTTTTCAGAAGGAGTAAAAGTCATACCTCTGAGTCCTCTAATAATTTAGGAGTCAGTAAGTTCATATATAATAATTTGATTCCTCCCACAATTTTAAATTTCCAACAAGACAATAATACAAAAAAATTGGGCTGTTCACCCTAAAGCATACCCACCAATTGGTGAAAATTTTTTTCTGTATGTAAACCACAGACGAGCACTTATATCCAACAATAATTTAGATTTGCCTGGAATTAAAAAACAAAGCCATATTAAACTACCAACTCCTGACTGCAAAGATCATTTGGCATTAACGCAACATATAGAATATACAGGAGATGTCTATTTACTTTCAGATACAAAAATAATACAGGTATCACTTTAAATATTCAGCGCACTTTACATCTACAAACTAAACAAAGTCTATTGGGTAAGCGTGCAGTAATTATTAGCCATCAAAGGTTAAGAGAGTAGCATTTCTGTTTTGAATAGCTAAGCTAAACTTGAACCAGCTACTGCTATGCAGAACTATCCCCTCTGAACAAAATTTATACACAGGACAAGAAACTTGGAGAATTTCTACTAAAAGGGACCAATTTGGGTCTGAAGGAGGAAGGATGAGCCTAAGTGCATAGCCCTTCTTCCTCCACTGAATCCTCTTCTGCATATAAAGTGACAAGACTTGGAGAGAGAAAACAAAGTGAGATGTCCACTTTCCATGGTATCGTCTCCCTCACACTTGCAAGGATTTCACCACCTTAGAGAATGTTAACCCTGAATACCGCAAAGATAGGTGGGAGCATGTCCAACAGACCAACAAGGCCTGGTCTACACTGGAGGGAGGGGTCGATCTAAGATACGCAACTTCAGCTACGAGAATAGTGTAGCTGAAGTCGACATATCTTAGATCGAATTAAAATTACTTACTTCGTGTCCTCGCGGCGCTGGATCAACGGCCGCGGCTCCCCCGTCGGCTTTGCTTCCGCCTCTTGAATGGCTGGAGTTCAGCAGTTGACGGGAGAGTGATCGGGGATCGATTTATTGCGTCTACACTACATGTGATAAATCGATTCCTGATAGATCGATCGCTACCCGCCGATCCGGCGGGTAGTGTAGACGTACCCTTAGAGCCTTGCTTCTCATTGGGGAAGGAAGACCACAAAAGTCACAGGAAGATATTGACTAGAGCGCCTACAAACAACAATATCGGGGTTTTGTGAAAAAGCCATGGCACTCTGGAAATACCCTGGGATATGTGCAATTTCATGAAAATCTCAGGAGATAGACCTTGCTGGTTTGGAGAGCCATACCTAGTCTTCCCCCACCCCTCCTTTCCCTAACAGGATAATGTGACAAAAAAATTCCACATATATGATCTGCTCCCTATCCCAGACAAAGTTTATTGTTCACCATATACTATCTGGCTCCCAACATAACTCAATAGACAAAATAAATAAAGCTGTGACTTGTTATATATAAAACCAATCACCAGTACGATTGAACAAACTAAATCCTCTAAACTGATAGTTTATCAAGCTCTGTTTATTCCAATTCCTGAGCACAATCTGTCTCACTCTAAAAACTCTGGAGTGACATTCAACTTTGACATTAGAATTACTAAACCACTAAGCTGGCCAAGAAAAGTAAATAACAGTATATTTTTGCAAAAGAATTTTTAAAAAGATTAGGTTGTAGTCAAATTGTGCTAGTTTTGTACCAATCTCATCAAATGTTTATATTGACTCTACAGTATTTCTAATCTCTCCAAGCTCTTTTTTTTTTTTTAATTTCAGGATTCCCTCAAAGGCACTCTACAATTCTTGAGGATCTAACTATTTACTACCTTTATCCCCTCACTGTTAACCTTGGACTGACTTGTCCTTCCAGCCATTATCAGGATACTTCAACAGTATCCTAGTGCCCATCAACACCACTACTGAGTTGACTGCCGGATCCAGGAAATGCAACACAAGGTGCTATCCCACACACTCTCCAAGGAACAAAAACCAGCCCTGCCCTCTCATTCCTGTGTGGTAGGGTATTGTGCTATAATTACACTGCAGGGACAGCTTCTAGAGAAAGTGTTTATTTTTGTCCAATTAAAACAGAATATGCATCGGAAAGATAAAATTAATTTTTACTACTTAATTTTTAAAACCCATTAACTTTCAACTGAGAATATCATGCTGTAAGAAATTCATACATCCAGCATAGTGGATTTGTTGTTGTCTGAACCACTGTAGAGACTTAATTTTTTGGTCTCCTGATACTGGTAATTGCTGATTCATTGCATTTACTTTGTATTTTAAAATGCAATTTATCACCAAGAGTACGTGGCTTCAGTGCATGCTTCTGATTTACAAAGTTTCTAAGGATATGACTGATATTTGCTGCATCACCACATCCAGTTTTAAAATGAGCTACAGTAGATACTCAGCTGCCTGCTCCTTTCTTATAGGAGAAACTTTAAAGGGTATTGTCACGATTTTACTTATTTTGGTGGGAAGATTGTGTGTGAAAAATGTTTTCTCCGTAGCTGATAGATAATATCACAGGTATTAAACATTCTTAAAAAGTCACTTATTTATTCCATGACATTTGATTACTAGAAATAACCCGCCTAATATGAGAATCTGCAGGATAAGCGTGCCCTGTTTGCAGAAACTGTGACGGATGCTGCACTCTCTACTTCCTTAAACCTCCTGCGAGCTAATTTCATATTAGGGTGACAACCACTGTATATAGTTGGTCTACTTTTTAGAAGTGAGTTTATTTTTGCTCTCAGATTTATGTAGTGATAATGTTATGAACACTGAGGAAATGTTCTACATATAAACTATGAAAGTTATAGTTGGATTTTCATTATAAACATACCTGTCTTAAGGTGGTATTGCCTTCCCAAGATCCACACTGACCCATCTGTTTCTGGAAATTCTTCTAGGTATTCCGATAAGACAGTGGTCTGGTTTTCATACTTGGATAAAACTGAACAGGAACACAGAAAGTTCAAACTCCATTTTGCTCCCTTTGTTCTTTTTGGAGCACTTTGCGTTCTTATACTGCAAGTGCAACTAGCTCCAACCAGTGATCTAGTCCAGGGTTTTGGGGTTTTCTGACCAATACTTCATTCTGGCAGCAGCCTTTACCCCATTTTCCCTCAGCAATATGCAGCGCCATTAAAATGGATAGTGTTCGTTGCAATTTTGTATTTTAACTCTCCAGAAGCTCTGGGAGACACTATGGCTGGCACCTGGACCCTAGAGCCCAGGGAGGAAATCCCGGGGCTATAAAAGCATATGGCAGTTTTTGCCATTGACTTCAATGAGGTTAGGCTTTCACCCACAGTCTAGGTGAACAATTTATGTCCCAGTCCTGCACTAAACACAGTTAACTTTAAATACATGAACCGTTCCACTCATTTCAATGTCACTACTCTTTCTTAAAATTAAGCATATGCCAAGTGTAAGTGGGACTGTGGCCTTAGTCTACTAACAGGAGATTTTGTATCTCCTGTTCAGAAAAAAATACTATTATTCACCATAAAACCTATTTACTTTAAGATGAATAAATAAAACACTTATATTGATTCATTCTATTATGGAAGTTCATTTGATTATGATTTTTGGTGGGAATTTATGGAAATGAAGGAATAACTCTTCAGCTGTAAAACTAAGCAATTGTTTTTATTTGCTTTGATTATTTTTTCTTTCAAATGACATATTTAAGAAATACACAATGAACTGATGTTTAAATATTAAATCATAAATATACATGCTAAATATGTTCAAGTTGCACGTAATATTAATATTACTAAAGATTTATAGGCTCCACTCAGGATTACCCATTTTGCGAGGCACTGTACAAACACAGAAAAAGATACAGTCCCAGTCCCAATGAGTTAACAATCTATGACCCAATCTTGAAAACACTTTTGCATGCAAGTAATCACAATGAATCTAACAGGACTCCTCACGTGTGTAAAGTTAATCGCGTGTCTTTCTTTCCTAAATGTCATTAATAGCAACTATACATAGCCACTACTCTTGATGTAAAATAGTTAAATGTGATTACACAATAGACTACAAAATACACTGGCTTAGAACAAAATGTCTACAAAAAAGATAAAGTTGACATTCTGGCCAACATTTTAGAATACTTAGTCCCATGTTAACTATTAGATAAATTAGGTCCAAAAATGTAGGCTCTTTGTTGAAGAAAAAAGATTTTACCATAACTAATAACATTTTTCATGACACTTTTAAAATGTCAAACAAAAGTTTTATACTATTTAAACATTTCTTAAAGTATTGAAATGTAAACATGGCACCATTTGTGTAAGTGCCTGAAAATCAGAAGTCAAAACTGACTATACTCAGAAAGTGAAACTGACCAAGTTTTACTGTCCAAGGTAAGCAGAATCCAAAATTAAACAGCATAAAGAGTAAAAAATATTGACTTTTTAAATTAATTTTAAAAATATTAGGTAAATAACATACTTCAGGAAACATGCAGTTTTAAAAATATTATACTTTAGAATACCCTAGAGAGTTCCACACAAATCCTCCTCAGATTAGGGTATATTAACCAGAAAATTAGCATTCAGGCATGATGTATATTTTTCTATTCAACTTGAATAAATGATTGCTAGTTACTGTAAAACAGTGAACTTTAACTATAAGTAGTGTGTGTGTGTGTATATACACACACACACACTACTTAAAGTTCACTGTTTTACAGTAACTAGCAATCATTTGCGCACACACACACACACACACACTCCCTCCCTCCCTCCCTCTGCTTCTACTGCAGCCAATGGGAAAAATCCAGGGCCATAAGGAAGGATTCTCTTAATACCAAGACATTTACATGCATAATCAAAATGATATATCTAGTGAATGCATATTGTGTTGACATTTTATTTATTCCATCCAGTTGGCAGTCACAACTGTAAAAGGATCAGCTTCATGGCTGCAGAGAAGTTGATGTCAGCACTATGCTAAAAAGCTTGAAGTAAATATCCATGCAACAGTAGAGCAGACTTTAACACTACAAATCTGGGCCTAGATCCTGCAATTTACTGAGTGTAGTGACAGGACTTAGGTGAATTACATACTTTGAATACTTCTAAATTTACCCAATAAACATATCTAAATATGACAAATGTACAAGTGGATTTACTCAGCTCTATTTTTTGTCCTAAGACTTATATTAAGTGGACACCAACACCTAGTTTAGGCTCATATTTAGGTTCTGTAAAGAGTTTCACAAAAATGGAATACTGTACTGCGTAACAGTTTAATGTTAAAGCTGTTGTTAAAAGTTTTTAATTTAACCATTCTACTGTCAGATTTCCAGCAAAGAACATCAGAAAGGGAAAGGTGAAACTGAAAAATGTGTTTTCATTGGTCAGCTGACTGAAGTGCAAAAAGTAAACAGCAGGGATGGAAACAAAATCAACTCTGCACTTTTTAAAAATAATCTAAAGATGTTCTTAGTAACCGATCTAAGGAAACTCCCTGGTGTTTTTAATCAACGTTATTTTCACCTGGCTGGACAACCAAGTTTCTGAGCTGAGTCAAGATAGAGTGAAACCTTTTAACCACAGCCACCTGGGCAAGAGCTAATCAGATTTCAGTCCCATGCGAGTTCCCCACTACCGCTGGTTCTGGAGGTCCCGGAAGTGTCCCTCTGGCAGGATTGACAGTGACACTTCGCAACTAGCTTGTGTCACCTCAGGGTGTAACAGCGCCGGACCCCGGCGGACTAGCGGCGGCTGCTGCCATCTTCCTCTAGCGCAGCCCCTGCCCGCGGCACAGCGGGCCTGACACTGCCCCACGCCCAGCCCTGCCCTGCCAGCCCCCGCGCCCCGAGCGCCCTCCAGCCGTCCCGCCGTGCGGGGCAGCCCAGCCGAGGTGCCGGCTCAGCCGCGGGCGCCGGGCTCGGAAGCCAGCTCGGACTCGGAGCTCGCCGGGCGCAGGATCGGGACCCGGAGCTGCCCTACCCGTCCCAGCGCCACGTCACCCCCGGGCTCTCGCCGTATGTGGCACCCGCCACACGCCCGGGCCTGGGGCTCCCGCCCGCGACCCCCGCCCTGGGCCCGGATCGGAACCGCCCGCTACACCCGGCCCGCGCCCTAGGCCGGGCCCCCTCCCCATTCTCCCGCTGTCCCGCCCGCCCCTCACTGCTCCCCTCCCCCCGCTGCCCCCCGCAGCGCCCCTTCCGCCGCCCGGCGAATCCCCCGACCCCGACCCCGCCGCGTCTCCCCTCACCGGACTCCATCCTCCCGCTGTCACCATCCTCGCCGCCTCCCAGCGGACACACAACACGGCGGCGGCCGCGGAGCACGCTGGGAGTTGTAGTTCTGCGGTGAGGGGGACGCTCAGCCCCGCTGCCTTCCGGGCTGGCCGGCTTCTCTGATTGGCTGCCTGGGGGGCGGGGGAGATTGTTGTGCTCCGCGCCCTTTCCTGAGGGGACGGGCTGAGAGTCTGTGAGGCGGCGGCATGGACGGTCCCGTGTCCAGTATGGAGGTCTGTAACCTGGCCTACACGGGGCAGCTGGAGTTGCTGCAGGACCGGCTGAGGGAGGACCGCAGCCTGGCCACCCGCAGCGACCAGGTCAGGCGGAGCGAGGTGTTGGAGGCTCGGGGGGCCGCAGGGGCTCTCAGCTGGGCCGGTCACGGTGTGGTGTAGTGTAGGGAGGCAGGCAGGGGCCAGGGCTTGGGAGGCCTGGGCTGCGGGTAGGGGAGCAGGGCCAGAGTGCTGTAAGGAGGGTGAGGGAGCTGGGCCGGCGGGGCTGGCAATGGGGTTAGAGCTGGGGAGCTGGGCCGTAGGGGGTGGGGGAGCTGGGCCGTAGGGGGTGGGGGGAGCTGGGGCCGTAGGGGGTGGGGGAGCTGGGCTGCTTGGGGTATCCGGGGGTGGGGGTCAGTCTTGGGGTCCTGTCAGTCTGTCTCAGCTGGAGACCTGAGGCCCTGCTCTCTCCCACGTATCTTCCCCGCTGCCTGCCCTGCCATCTCCCCGCGGGGCCCTGTGCTAGGAGCCCAGCTGACCCATGCCGCGTGTGTTCCTGTTCGCAGGATCACCGAACAGCGCTGCACTGGGCATGCTCAGCGGGACACACGGACATCGTGCATTTCTTGCTAGGCCTGGGCGTGCCTGTCGATGACAAGGACGACGTAAGTTGTGTACATTCCTAGAAACAGTCTTCTGCGCTTTCAGGAGCGTGTTCTGTGCAGCTTTGGGCTCGATGGGCTGATTTTTTGTTTTTAGGAATTGAGAAGGAAGTGAGTAGAACTGGCCAGATCCCAAGGCTCATGCCTTTGTTACAGCTGATATCATATCGGTTGGGTTTGGTAAAATACATGCTCTCAGTGCTTAGCCCTGAGTCTTGCACCGATTTTAAAAACAAGCCACGTGGTGATTGCGGAAGGTTCCACGAGGAGACTGCCCCCCTATGGATTTGGCGGCAAACTCATTTCCGTGGATAGTGATTATAGATTACTACAAATACTGGACTACTTGTTATGTAACTAAAATCTTATTCTATTCTGCATAGGTTTGTATGTTGCCTTCATCACTGTAGTATCTGAGTGCCTCCCAATAGTGCATTAAGTGACATGAATAACATCTGTCACAAATGGTTTGGTCTGCCTCTCTCATCTGCTTTATGGAAAGAGACCTGTTTACGTAGTGTAGTGTGTGTTTTTTCAGAGTTCTTAGTAAAACGTACATGCTGCTATGTATGTATGTGTTGGACAAGGTAGGCTGAAGAAGTGTAACTTCTCCAACAGATGGTGGTGATGTTTGTGATGGTCCTAAGTTCTTGTGGGAGTTCATTTCACAGTCTCGGACCAGCCCCCAAAGAAGCTCTGTCTGCTGCATAGGAGAGCATTATCCTTATGGTAGAAAGTGCCTGAGGAGCAGAATTGTCTACCATTGTCTTTATCCTGGAGTTTTAGGAGATCTTTTAGATATACTGGGCCCAGGCCTTTGAGCACCTTGAAGGT